CCTTGTTTTAAATGAGGTCAAATTGCATCACAGCGTTATGGTGGTGTGCACTAAAAAAGGTATGACATGCAGTCATTTTTGTATCACAGCATGTTGCAATGCAAACCACAACATTGCAATGCCTTTGTGGTGAATCAAACTGAATGATATTCAATAAAGTTCTAAGAGAAAACAAGTAAACAGCTCTAAGCAACAGTATCTGCACATCACTACTGTCCCTGCAATCACCAGCAGCTGTGCGTTGAGCGTTGGTCCTAAGCCATAGAAAAACAGATGCAAACATATTGCCTATCCTGTATACATTACATTAGTGTTTGCATTATTTAGCTCAGTCTGAAATGTGTAATTTACCTAGCACATGAGTCAGGCCTGGGTATAGACACATTGCTTTCCCAGGTGCATGTGCTAACATAAATATAGATACAACTATTATGTTCTATGGGTAAGCGCAGGGCGTATTTGGGAGCAAAAGTATGAGTCTCAAAGCACACTCAAGGAGAGGTTTTGGAGCACTGCAGGATGGTGAGACTTCATGACACAAAGGTTGAACTGGATAGACCTGTGCCCAGGGCCACATATACTCTCTCTGCTGCACCAAGGCCAGGTTCCTCAATGCACTGCCAACCCACACCCCCACAATGGAGACTGGCAGACCTGCAGGCTGCATACAAGTGATCTCGGCGACGTCGCCGAGATCACTTGTACAAAACAAGCGGCAGGGCTAAATGTAGAAAACAACTACCCGTCCAGCACCCAGAACTGCATGTCCCGGGCGTCAGAGATAGGAATTCCACTACCCCTTCTCCCCCTCTACTTCCTGTGGCCCCAGGGCCTGACCTTGGTTGTCCTTGTGGGAAATCCGGCCCTGCCTGTGTCTTTATTCAACATGGGTTGAACTGAACGGACCAATTTTTTTTGTTTCAACTTTAACAACTATGTGAGGTCTGTTTTTTCATGTGGCTAACATTGATAAAGAGAGTTTTGAGGGGGAGAGGTGTGTGATTCCTATCGTCCGTTGCCCCGGTAATGCAGTTTCCGGGAGCTAGGCAGGCGTTTTTTCTCTACATTTAGCCCTGATAGCCGGTCAGCAGCGCTCCCTAACACACACACAATGTGCATTGAAGGGTAAGTTCACTTTTCCATGTAGTTTGGGAAAATTGATTTATTGGCTCAAATCTGGCGCCCTTTCCCCCCACTATACTTACCTTTCGGCGAACAGTCCTTCCCCTCTGCAAGTACGGGTGTACTATCTGTACTCCATGCTGCCGTCCAGCGCAGCCCTGCTCTATGGATTTTGAGTTTCGCTTGCAAATTGCGAGTGGTCAGGAGATCCCTGGTGATTTAATGCTGGGGGAAGTGCGTATATACTCAGGGGAATTGCCATGTGGTCAGTTTAGTCCTTGTCATGGTCTAGTCCTGGTTGTAGTTCAGTTTAACCTGCCCCCAGGCTTAGGCATGGGCGGAGGAATGCTAAAGTGTGGGAAATGCCTCACTAGGCCTCAAACCTGGAGGAGGCAGATGCTGCTGATTATGGAGAAGAACTAGAGATGCTGATGGTGAACTAGAGAAGTAGAGATGCTGGAATAGAATGGATTTCAGGAGCAAGTCTGGTGTCTCTCCTACTGAAGATCTCATGTCTATCCCTATTCAGCTGTTGCTCGAGTACTCAATGTCAGGATGTGCTCCTATTGATTCTGCAATGGAATACTGAAAGGGACTGGTGAGTCTGGAGTCTGTTTATTTTTCTCGCGGATGTCCTAAGCCCTAAACCCTCTCTCCCATTTTCAATGTTCTAATAAAGTTCTTCACATCATATTTCTGGCCTGGATCTCAGCTCTATCAGTCACTGGCAGAGGGTGTTAAATGCTATTGCGGCAGCTGGTTGCTAAAATCACCTTCACAGGCTATGGAACATCTAGGTCAGCGCTGGCAAACCTATGGCACGCCTGCCAGGGAGGGGACGCGGGGCCCTCTCTGCTGGCACGCGAGCCCAGGTTCAAGGACCACCAATTGAAATAGATCCGACCGACCCGAATCGCCTCAGTACGCAATATGGGGCAGTTACAATCAGGCAGCGGCGGCGGCCTCTAAATAGGCAGATTTGACGGCTTCTTCCTCCTCACTAGGACCCAGGGAGGCCACCTCCCTGCAAAACAGGTAAGCAGGAGAGGGGGCAATGTTCTATTTATTCACTTTTGTTATTAGTTCTGTGTGTGTGTAATATGTGTGTTTTAATAAGTGTGTGATGTGTGTGTTTCATTACGTGTGTATGTGTGTGTATTTTATTGAGAGTATAAATGTTTGATTATGCATGTTTCCCTATTTTGCCTAAGGCCCCATTCACACTGAGCGGAAAATCCCACGATTTCCCCCGCGATATCGCGCATTTTTGCTGTGCGATATCGCGAGAAGTTGCACTTCTCTAATGTACAGCTTCATGTCGCCAGTCGCTGTAGCAGGCCCCTTTTTCCCGTGGAAGTCGCACAATTTTTCTATTTTTTAATGCAGCCTGCCTGTGAAGGTCGCGCGATCGTCGCTGGAATGTCGCCCCTGAACAGTCGCACGGATCCGCTTGTAAGGTATGCCGCTTGGTGTGAATGGGGCCTAAGGCAGTGATGTTGAACGTTTCTTAAACCCGAGCGCCAGAACTGCAATACAGTACCCAACTTATATTCAGCGCTGGCACTTTGAGGTAAATAAATTGATTTTGCGTCGCAATTTGGGCACTCAGGTTCAAAAAGGTTTTGAAACTTCTGTACAGCAGACTGGAGGAAGGAAAAACAGCACAAAAGAGTAAATCAGCTGTGCTGTAGTCCTATGAGCAAGCAGATAAGAGCAGAGTGACAGTGAGATGAGCTCATCATCCTGCCTCTTCTCTTTTCACTGTCCAGTCACAGCATGGGGAGGAGACCTGTAAGTGTAACTGAACTGCAGCAGGAAAAAAATCTCCTCCCCTGCCATTCAGGGTTGTGTGCTATGGCAGTGGCGTGCAAATCTATAAATTAGATCAACAGCTAAAAAATAATTTCACAAGTAAAACATCAACTTTATGCCCTCAATAACACTAGAAAAGGCCGGCACGTACAGCTCCGTGCTGCGTGCACGGCCGTATCGGGCAGCTCCTGGGAAGGACAGGTGCGTGTGTGATTAGTACGCAGCCCCTGTCCTTATCTATGGGAGTATTCGACCGTACGCCGCCCTACGCTGACCCGCCCTGCACGTCCATGTGGGTGTCCATACTTGTACGCTGACCGGATGGATCCTGTCTGTGTCCAAGCCGGGAGACCTGCACCTGTATGTACCTGCACCTGGGGTGAGCGTAGGGCGGCGTACGGCCGCGTACTCCCATAGAGAAGGACAGGGGCTGCATACTAATCACACGCATCACCTGTCCTTCGCTGGAGCTGCCAAGCGTTCAGCACGGAGCTGTACGTGTCGGCCTTTTCTAGTGTGAATGAGTGCTATCTGTACTTCATCTGTGCATTTAGCGCTTTGCCTGGAGTCCAGCTTTAAAGCCTTGGCTAGGGTAGCCAAAGGTCAGAAAATCTGAAGGAAGAGTTCCTCTTTCACACCATGTCTGGACCAATGGTTTTTTGATGTGTTTTTGCTGTGGTTTTGATGCGTTATGGGGCACTCCGATGCATTTTTTTAGTGTCAATGGGCTTTTAGGTGCGTTTTTGTGCATTCCAGACCAGAACAAATGTGACATGCAGTACTTTTTTGAATGCACGAGAAATTAACGCAATGGTGTGAAATATGCTCAGAAATACCATAGGAATACATTGGGATGTGTTTTTTGTACAGACAAAATATGTTCTGGTCCGGATCTGGTCCTTACCTTAAATGAGGCCTCTTGATCCGATCATCTTCTTCCTTCCACTTGTATTGAGAAGTCCCTCCAGAGCTAGTGCCGGTCTCTGATCCAGCACAGACTCCTCGGGTCCCACAGTGTCTGTCCGACGTGCATACTCACGACTGTGTGCATTCACCTCCGCTGTGCCTCTCCCCCTCCAAAGATCTCTACTGTACATGTGCCTGCCCCTTCATCCTGCTCGGCTGCTCCAGATCTTCAGACGGGAGCGAGCAGCAGTGACACAGCTAAGTAATAACCTTTTTGGTAACTTTTTTTATTTTAAAAAATAGTTTTGCATATATCTACTGCTTGCTAGCTAACTCCACGTGTTTAATTACACTCTTGGGTGTTCCTAAGCAAAGGGGGTGAGAGAAAAACTCCTCAGTGGGGGCACAGCCAGCAGCAAAGCTGTCCACAACAAGTAAAAAGCTTTACCATCTTAGGTTACGAAGACCGTGGTTGAGTTTTGGTTGCCGTCTGTGCCTCCATTAGCTTTCCCCTCACTTACTGTCTATGGACCACCTAGCAGTGGGACAGGAAATAAGGTAAACTCTCCCCATACGGGAAACAGACAGCAAATGAAATCCAGCAGCACTTCTAACACTTCCTCACTCATTCTACAATTCATAGTGTACCTCCATTTGTCTTCAATCATGTAGATATGTGCTAGAACCTCTGAAACGTTTTTGTTTTCGTATGTGTCCTCAGTTTCCACTTACACTTTCTCTACTGGTGATGTGCGGGGGGCTTTGTGCTAACCAAGCTCACCCAGGCTCATGCAATACTGTCACAGATACCCCCCCCTTACCATTCAGTTGTGGCAGGGGTATTCCCCGCCCCTTTGTGGTGTGCAGCTACAGGAGGAATGAATGCCCCGGCTGCAACTGATTGGTATGGGTGGCTGGCTGACAGTTTTGTGTGGACTCAGATGAACTTGATTCGGACCAAACCCCGATACATAATTAGTGGTCCAGAAAGAAGAAAGGGGAATGTCACCAGTGAGGATACATATCGATAAACAAATGTAAAGACTCTAACCCTTTCATTTCCCGCTCATGCAGTATTTAAAAACAAAAAAGCACATTTGTTTATAATGTGTTTTTATTACAAAAAAAAATGGACACATCATATGTTCTTCCCAGAAATATCAATTCCCCATCTGGAAGTTCCTTGTCCTTCGAGCACCTCCACCTATAGAGTAGGTGATGGATACACATAAATGTCTTGGGTTGATTTCAGAAGATGACATACAGATGTCCCCAGAAATCTCTGTATCCTGCTCTACATGTACCTCTTCCTCCAGGTACAGCAAAGTTTGCTTCCAGTGCGTCTCTTGACCATACGGAGATGTAGATAACGTAACTCCTTTCTCTCCTGGGAAACTGACAGAAAACCAGATGGCGAATCCATGCATCAAAGAGGAACCATAGCAGCAGAATCTGAAGGAACCTGTGATGTTGGCGATGTCTTCCAGCGTGATGGTGTCAAGGTTCAACATGGCAAACTTCACTGGGTGGGAGAGCATATTTTCTGGGTATATTGGGCACACCACCATGTCTTTACCCATGATGCACTTCCGTGCAAACGTTTCCACGCAGGACATGTCCACTCCATACACGTCCTTCATTCCACCCCAGAAGTCCAGCCTCTCCTCCACGGCATTGTCGTTAATAGGAACGAGGAAGAGATCCGCGTGGCATGGGAATATCAGTCCGCCAGGTTTAAGCCATTTGTCACGAGCATATAACACAGAGCTTAGCATCGATTCATGCATAAGGCCGTACCCCATCCATTCGCTGACAATGACATCGACTTGACCTGGTATCTCAGCGTTTTCCACCGTGCTAGAGATCACTTCGATCTTGCCCTCCATTCCGTTGTGTTTTATAACATCGCACGCCAGTTGGGACACGGTGCTGGCTTCCACGGCATAGACTTTAGCCGCCCCGGCCTGTGCGCAGAATACACTGAGGATGCCTGTGCCAGCACCTACATCCAGCACGGTTTTACCACAGAGAGCATCTTGGTTGCGAAAAATGGCTGTCTTGTATGTGTTCGTTCGTACGGTATCTGAGAGCATTTCTTCGTGTATGGTGACATCTGAGTAACACTGGAAATACTCACAGTCCTGCTCAGTTTTGTCAAGTTTCCTTTTCTTGAGCAATGCCATGCTGGGATCCTTTCCTGCACAGCGTGCCTGGACAGTGACTTTCTTATGGAGCATGCAGTAGTGAGCGAGACGGAGCTAACAGCAGTGTCTATTGGCTGACTTAAGGATAGTGTGATTGGATAGTGAGCTCTTCCTGTCTGCTGCCAGTTCAGCCCCTCCTGTTTCCCCAGCTTTGCTTTCACTTTGTTTTCTCACTTTGTAACCTGCTGCCAGGCTCCTCTTTTGCCTTTAACCCATGCTGTGTCCTGTTCTATGATTGTATCCCGGCATGCTTTGTGTGTTGTGTCCCGGCATGCTTTGTGTGTTGTGTCCCAGCGTGCTTCGTCAGCAGCTTTCTCGGGCCTGGGGTCGTTTGCAATACAAAAGCTGCAGAACAACATCACGCCTTTCAACATTCTCAGCTGGGAAAGCACAAAAGGCTCAGGGATGGGTCACAACATAGCGTTGCGCTGAAGACGCAGTATCTGTACGTTTTGTGCAGGCTATCGCACTGCGCGATTCAGATGAGGATAAAGCTAACACACCAGGATGAGGATATTTATTTCTTTAGAAAGTGAATTACACTTCAGTGCCACTTGCATTTTTGTGCTCTATATGCAGAGGAAAATCTGTCAGTCTAGATGCTTTAAATGTCCCGTGTTTACATGCATATGCGTTTAGATGCATCTGGTACCAAATGCTACCATAAAAACGTGTTTGCATGCGTTTTGGTGCATTTAGAAGTTCAAATCTGTTCCTAGATGCACCTCACTTCTTATTTTTGAAAATGCAGATAAACTGCAGATAAACTCATCTATATGCAAAGTGTGAGTATAGACATTGAAATTCATTCCATATATATACATATATATATATATATAAAAACAAC